GGAAGGAAGAATCATGGTTTTCTCGTGGGAAAAGAAAAAAAAAGTATGCTGTAAATTCTATATAATAAAAGCATACATATATGAATTTTTCTTCATGTGTCTGGTATTTTCACTTAAAAAGTTAACTTGCAATTAAACCAATGAACTAAACTTGAATTTCATGAACCCAAAGAGGTGGTTTTAATAATTTCCTCATATATATTTGTGAAGAAGTCATTGATATATCTGCAAAGTGCTATAAGAACCGTGGGTGAAAAGGGCAGCAAAACTTCCACCATGAAACAACTGAGAAAAATGTGGCTGAACCCCTTTTCCAGTCTGGGAGCAGGTTATGGGGTAGGCATGGAGCGCACCTTTGTGAACCTTTCTGCTTTATAACCTTTCCCATTAAAGCTTAATAGAAAATATAATGATTTATAATCATTAAAGATAGTGATTTTTTTAAAAAAAATATGCTTCATTTCAAAAACTCAAGTCTATAGTCACCAGGCTGGAAAATAGTTGTTTCATCACTTTTACTTCTGGGAGAAATGCTTGGCACAGAGTGAACTGGAATGAAAACATGAGACAGCAGAAAGTCCCAGCACAATGCAGTCTAAAAGGCTCCTAGGCATCCTTTATGTAATAGGTAATGGAGGCACTGGAACACTGCCTTTAAAAATATAAGTTTATGGCCAAAGTGAAGATAAGCCAAGGACTTTGAGAAATAAAGTAAGATGGAGCAAAACCAGGAAAATTCAAGCTAAATTTCTTATGTAAAGATCACTGCCCAACATAGTGGTGAACTCCTGTAATTCCAGCAACTGGAGAGGCTGAGGCAGGAGGATTGCTGGTTTGAGGCCAGTCTCAACAACTCAGCAACACAGGCAGACCCTGTCCCAAAATAAAAATAAAAAGGGCTGGGAATGTGGCTCAGTGGTTAAGTGCCCCAGGGTTCAATACCTAGTATCTAAAGGAGTCTCATTTAAACAAATTATGCTAAATAAGGTGTTGAGCAGAGAAAGGAGTTGCCACTTGGCTAAAAGGCAACTCTAAATTGTACTGTTAACCTGTGTGGTTCAGCGTAGAGAGCAAAGAACATTGCTTTTCTGCCTGACCTGCTTGAGTTTTTCTATTCCAAGTGACATTTAGATGATCCCTCTTGCATATAACCAACAAAAATTTTATATCCACTAGATAATACATGATTGAAAATTACTATATTTCAATAGCAAAAAGGAGTCATTTCTTATTATGTATAGAAAGGAGAAGCATTTTAAAAATTAAACTGAATTGCCCATATCTGAGAAATGAAGCAATTTTAGAATATACACAAAAGATTTTATTCAAGCAAGCATTAGGTTAAAGAAGTTAGGAAAGGGTAGAGAGGAAATTCACAACCAAGAGAGGACTAAGGTCAAGGCAGGCTTCCAGAGAGTGAAGCCCTTTAAGTCAGGATTTTGCAACCACCAAAGAGAATTAGACCATCTCTGGAAGGATGAATGATTAACAAATCAGATGGTGTGTATCTATTAGGTAAAAGGGTGGGGGAGGGGAGAAAGAAGCTCAACAAAGGAATTGCCAGTTAAATTTCTTCAAATTCTGCAAATGCATCAAAGAGGAGAATCTGCTTTGGTTTTATACCATTTAAGTCATAACCCACATTCATTAGCAGTTACCTCCCTAGTGTCGCCAAACTTTGCATTAGAATTAGATTGACAAAATTATTATTATTATTATTATTGTTATTATTTCTGAATAAACCTTCAAATTTTGGCCACTTGCATCTTGATATAGATCATATCCATTAAGTAAACTTATAGAAAATTATTGTGTCTTAATTCTTATATGAGGGTCACAGGTAAGATTCTTCCAACAAACAGATACAGAGTAGGTAGTATCAATTTTTTTTTATATCTTTTTTTTTTTAATGTGGTGCTGTGGATGGATCCCAGTGCCTAATGCATGCAAGGCAAGTGCTCAACCCCTGAGCTACACCTCAGCCCCAATAGTATCAATTTTTAAAAACTAAGTAACAGTTTTGGAAATACTTCTTTCCCCATCCCAGTTGAAAAGTAGTCATCTTAGGAATATAATGTTAGGGAGTAATGTTAAAATGTCAGCATGTTATATATAATTATAGTCACTATTTAAGAAGGGCCAAATCTTTTATCAAGGATCCTTGAGTGTGAAAATGTGTGTGTAAATGGGCTGGGGATGTGGCTCAAGCGGTAGCTCGCTCGCCTGGCATGCGTGCGGCCCGGGTTCGATCCTCAGCACCACATACAAAGATGTTGTGTCAGCCGAAAACTAAAAAATAAACATCAAAATAAATAGACTCACTGTAGTGAGCCAAGTCTTTAAAAAAAAAATGTGTGTGTAAAGATTAAATGATTTAAGCCTGTGGTACCAGACCACAAAATGACCTGAATAATTCCTAACTTGTCACACTCTTGGGTACTTTCTTTCCACAATGAACAGGGCTGATCTGCTAACCTATTATGACTATTATGGAAGTGATATGCTGTCTCTTCCAATGATATATCAAGGATGTTTGCTCTAGAGGCAAGTAGCCCTAAAGAAAGGTGCTCATGACATGGAACTATAGACCTCCTGTAAGAGAGTAAGCGTCTTGACTGCAATCATGTGAGGCCCTGAGGTAAACTGTTTTGGATTCCTAACATGCTGAAACTCCTGAGATACTTTGTGTTTGTTGTGGCAAACTGCTAAATTTGGGACTACAGAAATAGATTTCTAGATCTTCCCTCCACCAAGATATACTAATAACAAAACAAATGAACTGCCCATCTTAAGCTATTTACAAAGTTCCTATGTTCTGAAATTACTTGAATTTAGATGGAGCCTTATCTTAAGGAATTTGCCATTGAGTTCCTTGTCTCAAAGTGTTGCACCAAGATCAGCAGCACTGGCATTATCTGGGAGCTTGTTAGAAATGCAGAATCTTAAACAGATATTATTATTACTGTGTGTATATATGTGACTGCATGACCAATATGATTCTACAACCTGTATACTCAGAAAAATGAGAAATTATATCCCATCTAATTCAAATGTATGATATGTCAAGGTCATTGTACTGTAATTAAAACAAATAATAATAATAAAAAAAAAGAAATGCAGAATCTCAAACTTCATCCTAGACCTAATAAATTGGAATCTACATTTTAATGAGATTCTTGCATGATATATAGGTATGTTAAAGTTAGTGAAAAAGCACTGGGGATGTATTTGACACATAATGTTACAATCTGGAAACTCTGCTTATATATTAGGGATACCTAAACACAAAACAAATACACGGAAAAAAAGAAAAGAAAAGAAAAAAAAACCCAAACGAAACAAAAAACCAGGTGGAGAAGCTTATCCCCAGAAATTCATCTGGGTTGAACCTGTCATGGCTGTGGACCTAATTATACCGCAGGGTTCTCCCCTGGCGGGGGGGGGGGGGAGAACTACATTAAAAGCTTAGATCACCTCTGCCTTCCCAGCACGCTGTTATTCTGATTCTCAAGTCAGGTATGCCCAGGTGTGTCCCCAGGAGTGCCTTGGAGGAACTATTGTGCTGGTGGTGAAAAACTGGCAGCGCAGTGGTGATGGTGATGGTGGGGGGGATGAAGTGACTTGGAAGATGCTGAAGGTGGTCGGTTGGATGTGTTTCTTCCTTCTCCTACTCATGCTCTTCCAGGACTCATCTCATTCCAAGAAAAGTGTTTATGCCTTTCTACCTTCATGGTCGGTTTGGAATTGTTGCCTAGGGCCACCGGAAGAACCAGAGTGCTGAGTAACCTAAGGTTTTATGGGTCAGATTAGGACCATTTCCGAACTGTTTCTCCAATGGCAATATCGAAATAGCTCACAATGCCCACTGCAGCTTTTACCTCACGCGGACCCTGCAGGCCCTCAGCTCGGAGAAGAAGGCCTTTGGAAACATGCTTTTCCTGTTGACCAGACACTACTAAAGATTTCCACTATGATGGGTGTTTCCCAGTATTACATTGGTATTCTTTCGGGAGCAGCTCAGATTGACATCAAATACCCCTAAAGTGAGTGGGTGGGGGGTTGGGTGCAGGGCTCCTCTTTCCTAGGCTTGGGCATCCTCGGTGATGGAAACAATGCCTAGCACATGGCATACTCTCAATAAATATTTGTTGATCATATCCATCCCTCAGAACCCAGGAACTTCTGATAACTCCTTGATTCAGTGACTGAACCTGCCATATTAGCGAATCTGCAATGGGAAGTGTGAAGGCTGTTTTCTCAAAGAATTTTTAAATAAAGCAACACATCTGCTGTATTTTTAAAATAATAATAATAATAATAAAAAATAATAATAATAATAATAGTAATAAACCTTGTGCCCAAACTCCACGCTGTTTCGGATTTCTGCCTAGCTTGGCCTCGGCGTTTCACGGGGAGGCGAGTAGGGGATGTGCTCCCTGCCCTTGACTCTCCTTCCTTTGTAGTTTTTGGCCTGCGCGTTTACGCTTCCAGGCGGAGGAGCGAGTGCCGCGGCTGCGCCCATTAGCGCTGCGCCGGGTAGTAGCTGTCAGGCGGGCGGGGCTGCCTAGGACCCGGGAGGAGCCGCTCCTCGCGCGCCGCATCGCCCCCGCGCCGGCCGGTCCAGCCCTCCGCTCCCCGGCCCTCGCCCTCTCCGGAGGTTTGGGCCTCCCTGAGGGGCCAGAAGCCCTGCGGGCCCTGACAGCCGGCCCGCCTCGGCGCGGATGCCGGCGGGTGGGCTGGGCCCGCCGGCTGCGTGGGAGGAGGGCTGCATTATTTCCCGCTAGGGCCGGCGCGGGGGGAGGACGGGCCCTGCCCGGACGCGGAGCCCCGGACGGCGCGCTGCGGAACCGGCGGGGCCTGGGCGCGCACTGGGCGGCGGCGCGGCGTCCCCGGCTGGGGCCGGGCGCTCTCCCACGCTCGCTCCCCTCCCCCCGCCTTCCTTCCTTCCCCTCGGCGCTCCCGGGAGCGGTGGGCGGACGCGAGCCGCGGCAGGCGCCCGAGCTTTGTGTGCGCCCGCGGGCCCCGGGCGAGCCTCGGGCGGCCCAACTTTGCAGCTTCCGAGCGGGAGTTGTGAGGCGTGGCCGGTGGAGGAGGCGCTTGGGGGGGCGTGGGGCTCCCCAGCTGGCGGGAGGACGGAGCGAGCCGCGCTGGACAATGAGCTGGGCAGCTCCAAGCCGCGGCCACTTTTAGCTGGGGGCGTGGGTCGGCCCGCGGCTCGGCGGCCCCACCTGCGAGGAGAGGGCGGGATGCCCGAGCCAGGTGCGCCGGTGCTTTAAGGCCCCGCGCAGCCGGACGTCCCTCCACGGCCGCTCGCATCGCCTCTAGGCTGCCTGGGACGTGTTTTTGAGGAAAGCTTTCTGAGCAGCCGCGATGGCCAGCACCAGGAGTATTGAGCTGGAGCACTTTGAGGAGCGGGACAAAAGGCCGAGGCCGGGGTCTCGGAGGGGGGCGCCCAGCTCCTCCGGGGGCAGCAGCAGCTCGGGCCCCAAGGGAAACGGGCTCATCCCCAGCCCAGCTCACAGTGCCCACTGCAGCTTTTACCGCACGCGGACCCTGCAGGCCCTCAGCTCGGAGAAGAAGGCCAAGAAGGCGCGTTTCTACCGGAATGGGGACCGCTACTTCAAAGGCCTGGTCTTTGCCATCTCCAGCGACCGTTTCCGGTCTTTCGATGCGCTCCTCATGGAGCTCACCCGCTCCCTGTCCGACAACGTGAACCTGCCCCAGGGCGTCCGCACCATCTACACTATCGACGGCAGCCGGAAGATCACCAGCCTGGAAGAGCTGCTGGAAGGTAGGAGGGACGGGCACCGCGCTGCAGGTGCCGCGGAGCGCGCTGGCAGGTGCAGTGGCCGCGGGCCAGAGCGCACCCGCCCGCCCTGCGCAGAAGGGAGCCTGCGGGGCGCTTTCTAGGCGGCCGGGGGAACTGCAAGCTTCTGCTGCTCTGTGGGTTGTGTGTATGAGGGTGGAGGGGACGCCCACAGTACTCTTTCCTTCTTAAGATATTTGCTTTTAAAAAAAGAAAGAAAGAAATCAGAAGCAAAATTAGGCGTTGGTGGCACCTCTTGAGATTGGCTAACTTCTTTTTGTTCGAGTGCAAAGTACTTGGAAACATGACTCTTCCTTTAGCTTGGGCAGTCGCCTACTTAATAAGCTGTTTAGCCCTTGGCCTGGACCCCAAGTGCAGGCACTTGTGGTGTTCCAATGTACGGGACGCTGCTATACTTGCTCTACGCAGAAGCTGTGACTGTGAAATGCTCTGGGTTGGCTTTCCTGGATTGGCTTGCTGCAGAAGTCACTTCAGGTCAAAAGGGGTGATCCTGGACAGAAGTCCCAACTTTGGCTGCATGTTGGATCACCATGGGGTCTTTCAAAAATAGGGGTGCCTGGCTTTCACCCCTAGATATCCTGATTATATTGGTTTGGGGTGTGGCTTGGGTGTTTAGCATTTTGAAAGCTCCCTAGGTGATTTTAATGAGCAGCCAAGATTGAGAACCACTGTGTTAAGGGTTTTCCACATTGGATTGGAAATGAGGTGAATCAAGGTCAGTCTCTCTTGTTTCCTCCCCTAATGAGAGTACCTAGTTGGAAAGATAGAAGCCATTGGAATCAGCAGTTGAGGCCTATTATAAATTACTAACCCAGGCATGACCACCATGCATCACTCAAATGGACTTAAATTAGTTGTATGTTGGATCATTTTTTGAATTCCTGCAGTGTTTTTTTCTTCTTCTCAGGGAAAACAACTTTACTAGTAGTTAAAAACCTGTTTGCAGTTCTAAACAGCATCCAGAAAGATCAGGCCAAACCCAAGTATGTGTTGACTGCATATTTTCATGAAGTTAGTGCTCATGCATCTATCTTAATGCAAATGGAATAGTCATAGCAATATTGTCTTGGTATAGGGAGGAAACTCATCATTGAGCCAGGTGTTTTCCTTATATTATCTCAATGTGCTAGTTTATTATGTTCTGAAGGCATTATATCCATCTTACAGATGAGGAAACTTAAGTTTCCTCTTTAAAAAAGTGCTCTGTCTCATATAGCCATATGAGTCCTGTAAGAGGTTGAGTTTCTTGCTTTGTATGGTGGCGCATGCCTGTGATCCCAGTGGCTATAGGGGCTGAGTCAGGAGGATAACCAGTTCAAAGCCATTCTCAGCAATTTAGCGAGACCCTGTCTATATATAAAGTATAAAAAAGGGCTAGGGATGTGGCTCAGTGTTAAGTGTCCCTGGGTTCAACCCCTAGTACCAAAAAAGGTTGTGTTTCTCTATGTAGGCACTTTTATCAGAAGTTTGCTTTGCTTTGGTTAGAGGACAGTACTGCTGAAATTAAGTTGTTTCTTCAGTCTGTATATACATTCTCTAGTTCAGTCCTGTGTTCTGATTTTAAAGACTTTCAGAAGGAGGTGAAGATTTTTGTAGCAGTATAAGTAAAATGAAGATGGGCTGTCAAAAGGGCTGTATATCTCTTTTCTTAATTGTGATAAGTCCTTAAAAGCAACATTTGCCTAGATATTTCTAAACTGAGTAATTTCTAACTGATCCAAGGTCAAGAGTTGCAGCCCTGTGGAAGGATCCAGGCAACCAATGCCTATTGCCTAAGCCTTGGTTACTCACTTCCCTTTCAGATACTGTTCCAGGGGTGTCTCGGGAGGGTCAACAATTTTGATATCCTCTGAACTAATTTAACAATGTATTTTCTACATAAAATTAAGGTCCTTTTAAGATGAATATCATAGAAAGATGATCAAAATGACTATTTTCTGTATAAATGAGAGCACAATTACATATGCAGGCTGTTGTCACTACACAGAGGATGCTTGGCCCACTGGGTCTAATTCTTAAACTATAGTTTCAACCACAAATTGACAACAAATTTACTTCAAATCATTCATTTGCTAATGTTTGGAAAATAGGGATTTGGAAAAACACTCTAATAGACATAGAATGTCTATTAGACAAAGTCCCATATTCAATGTCCCATAGAATAGATCTTTGTCTAATTCTTGAGTTTCCCACAAGGTGAGTGAAATACCTCAGAGTAATGCATTTTTCAAAAGATAACCATCATTGCTTACTATCCTTTCAGAATGCAGATAGCTTTAAGTTTTATTTAAAATCTTCTTCATAAAGAAGAACCAATCAGTTATCTGTGAAGTTATTTGTATCAATAGAAACAGGTCTGTAGTATTGACCATGTCAATTTTTTTTTATTTCATTTAGTTAACTGGGTTTTTCTCCGACTTTGTCATTTTTAATAAAGACTCTTAGGCAGTATTTTATACCATTGTGTTCCTCTCTTCTCTCCTCTGCATCTTCCATCCCATGAAACTTGTAGTTTAGGAGAAATTTTTTTTTCTGAATGCCCTCTTCAGGGAATAGGAAGTAATGACTCAAGACAGCAAGGCTGGAGCCCTCAAAGTGCCATTGAACTCAGATGACAAAAGAAATTTGCATGACCCAGATTTTTTTTTTTCTTCTGCCCTTGACCTTGAGAGTCTCAGGAGGCTAAAAGCTGTTCTAGTGTTAGCCAGCACTCCTCTAGCCCTACACTAAACCATCAGGCACCTTCAGTTTATTGATTTACCCACCCTCTTGCTGGATTAATTTCACTGAATCAATGCTGTGCATTCCTGTAATCCTGTTTATTCTTTACTACTGGATGGGGACCTCCTTTTATAGGAGAACTGAGACCCCCTAACTGTCAGTGTTGGGAAAATGAGCTGAGCTGTCTCCAGCTGTGAGCCTGCCTAGCCTTGAGTAGTCTTAAGAGCCAACTCAGGGCATCTGAGGCCCTCTTATGCAGGGCTGAGTCAGAATTCCTAGCCTCGCTTCTGCTGCATGAGTCCTCTTCCCTTCTGAGCATTTTGGTTATGTTTGGAAAATTTTTATGTCTTGAAGAGATAAAGGATACTTACTAGAAACAGTGTCTGATTACATCAAGTTTGCTGGGTTCTGCTAACTGGATTTGAGAAATTCACCTCAGTTACCTGGCCTCAGTGTGTTTTTCTGTAGAACTATAGGTTGGCAGATCCCCTTTCTGGGTTGGGTCTCTTCTAGACTAATGGTATGTACCTTTTCCTACCTGAGTGGTTATTTACAGAGTGTCTGATGGCCTGGGCCACTTTTCCTTGTCCAGAAACTGTCCAGAAAACTGTAAATGCCCTTTTACCAAGCTTTGAGAGGAGTTTGTGGCTCTGAAAAAGTATTTACCTAGAGCCAAACATAGTCACAGATACTTCTTGACTGCTTCTCACATTCCAAAGTAAAATGTCATTTTATGTTGTTTCTACCTTTTACCCCTTTGTAAAAGATAGGTAAGCTGGATACTTGGCATGTGAGATAATTTTGATAATTTGATTATTGGTAGTTTAATTCCTTTATGAAGTTAACTTGAACATCTAAGAAAAATAAGGTTCTAAAGTAAAGCTCCTGGGGTTCTCTGCCAAACCTAGTTTACTGCACCTGTTTGGTTAGGTTGGCATCTTTGAAGGTGTTAAAGACCCCCAAATACAGGGTCTGAGAGAGTTTGAAGTAAAATGAGGCTCCATAATAACCCGGGTTATACTTAGTCCCCCCTCCCCCAAAAAAGTAGATTTAAAAAAAAAAAATAAAAACTGTGCTTTTGGAACATGTTATGGTGAGATGGGAAATCTAAATCCCATGAGATATTTGCATAAGAAGTCAGTACTTTCTATAGGACAATTTAATATTGAATCTTACATCTGCAAAGCCTTCTTTTTTAAAAAATTATTTTTTCTTTTCAGTTATACATGACAGTAGAATGTATTTTGACATACCATACATACATGGAGTATAACTTCCCATTCTTGTGGTTGTACGTGATGTGGAGTTACACTGGTCGTGTACTCATGTATGAGCATAGAAAAGTTGTGTCTGATTCATTCTACTGTCTTTCCCCATCCCTTCCCCCGACTGCCCTCTTCCAACCTGGTGACCCCCTTCCCCACATTGTGAGTCAGCATCTGCATATCAGAGAGAACATTCAGCCTTTGGTTTTTGGGGATGGGTTTATTTTACTTACCATGATAGTCTCTAGTTCCATTCATTTATGGGAAAATGCCATAATTTCACTCTTCTTTGTGGCTGATTAATATTCCATTGTGTATATGTACCACATTTTCTTCATCCATTCATCTGTTGAAGGGCACCTAAGTTGGTTCCATTGTGAATTGAGCTGCTATAAACATTGATGTGGCTGCATTACTATAGTGTGCTGATTTTAAGTCCTTTGGGTATATGTCAAGGAGTGGGATAACTGGGTCAAATGGTAGTTCCATTCCAAGTTTTCTCAGGAATCTCCATCCTGCTTTCCATATTGGCTGCAACAGTTTGCAGTCCCACCAGCAATGTATGAGTGTGCCTTTTCCCCCACATCCTTGCCAACACTTATTGTTACTTGTATTCTTGCCGTTCTGAGTGAGATGAAATCTCAGTGTAGTTTTAATTTGCACTTCTTTAATCTTCAAAGTCTTCTTTACCTGCCAGACTTCTGGATTATTCAAGATCCTCTTCAAATGTTGCCTGTGAAGTCTTTCCTCCCACTTCTGTGCAGAAGGTCTTAGAACAGTTGCTGATTGAGAGCACACTGTGTGTCAGGCATCCCTTCTCTTGCTGGACTAGAGTTGCCCTCTGGGAATTCATGGTTTAGGGGAAGAACAAGAATGAGCATCAACACACGGGATGGCTTCAGCTAAAATGCTATATATGGGGTGGTGATGGGACAGGGCTGGAGGGCTGTGGCTGGGAGATGGGAGGAGGAGCCAGAG